ACATAACTTACCATTAAAAGCAGAATCTAACTCAGACAAAGCATTCTCAAATTGAGTTAATCTAGAATCAGAAGCATCAATATATTTAACAACCTCACGCAATTTTTCAACACTTTCATGAACTTCTTTTAAACCTCTTTGAACAATAAGATTTAAAACATGAGCTGAACATCGAACATGAAAGAATTTCCCATTACAAGGAAGAGGAGAGCATTGCATTAATTCTTTTTTCAAATATTCAACCATAACATCCATAGAACGAGCATTATCAACAGTCATTGAAAAAGCCTTACCTTGAAGGTTCCACTCTTTAATCAGTTTAAACACAAACTTTCCAACCTCAACACCAGTATGGGGAGGGCCACAATATCTAAAATTTAAAATTTTAGACCTAAGAGACCAACTGTTATCAACATAATGAGTAGTCAAAGTGAGATAGCCTCGGTTAGTACATGCAGTCCACAAGTCACATGTAAAGCTAACTCTACCAGAAACATTAGCCAAAGACTCAAGCAACAAGGATTTATATTTATCATGCTCAGCAATAACATACTTTAACATAGTTTTTCTACAAACATGCTGCACCTTAGGATTCAAATATGCATGAAGTTCCCTAAGATATTCATGCTCTACAATATTTAAAGGATATGCATGGCAGATTATAGCTTTAGAAAACTTTTGTAAATAAGTTTTTTGATCAAATTGTGATTTGTTACCGGACTGGAGACCATGATTTTCCAAACATGCATTAATATGAGCTCTACAAGTTGAAGTACCCGCTTTACCAGGTGCTTTATATTCTTTGCCACACAAATTACAACGAGCATAATCTACATTTTCATTACCTATCGTCTTTACAAAAAAAGTGTAATGCTTCCATATACCTGCGGTTCTTTGACGTTTATTAACAGAAGGATTGATAGTGCCGGTATTACTAGCATCATCAACCGAGACAGAGGCAGCTTGAGAGCTAACAATATCAAAATTTGATTGCCTCTCATAGTCAAATTCATCATACTCGCGAGACATGACTGAAACAAAAAAAAAAACAGCATTTATAACTTATAAGTACCAAATTAAGTGACAGATTCTACTAATAGTGAGCAATTAAGCATGCATTGTCTCATGTGACTGACACTGAAGTCACGACAGTGAATCCTATTCACTCAATACCAAAATTCAACTAAATAGATAGTTCATATTTCAGAATTTTATTTGCACTAGTCAATGTTTCAAAATTCAGAATTATACAACAAACGTGATTACAACATATATCCTAACAGAATATAGAAAGTTATATACGATACAGTCACATATGTGTACATTTTAAGTACTAACTTTAAGCCAATCATATACAATGCTTGTATTCCAACAATATGGGTTAAAAATATAAAGCTAAAATCCCAATAAATAAACAATGCATGTATTCCAACACTAATAATCACATAATCTGAACAACCCATCATCATTACTTTTAAATCGAGCATAATAAACAACAAAACAGCACAAATCTACCATTTTCCCGTAAAAAACAAAAATACAATCAACAACAGACTTTACTCATTTTAGGCATATTTCGACTATATTCAAGCAAGAACAACAACAATAATCAAATACAAAAACAGAAAAACTGTATTAAAAAAAAAACAAAAAGGAAAAAGTAATTACCTTTGACGGCTTGAAGGAGATTTGAAGATGGAGAACTACCTGAACTGGAGATCAAAAGAAAAAATCAAGAATGTAGATTATCAGAACTTGAAATAAAAAAAAACCCGAAACGAAAACGAAAAAAATCGAATAAATTAACAAAAAAATTACCTTAGGGTTTGACGGCTTGAAGGAGAGGAAGATATGAAATCAGAAATCAGAAATCAGAACTTAGATCCAAAACAAAAATGAAACGAAAACAAAAACCCTAAATAAACAAACCGAAACAAAAACGAGAAAAATCAAAACGAAAACAACAAAAATTAACAAAAAAAACGAGAATGTAAAGCGAGAAATCAGAAATGTAGATCCAAAACACAAATGAAACGAAAACAAAAACCCTAAATAAACAAACCGGAACAAAAACGAAAAAAATCAAAACGAAAACAACAAAAATTAACAAAAAAACGAGAATGTAAAGCTAGAAATCAGAAATGTAGATCCAAAACACAAATGAAACGAAATTGAGCTTGAGATTCTTGAGAATTTCAGAACGAAAGAGTGAGAAACTGAGAACTTAGAGAGAGAAACTATGACAGATTGTGAGATTGAGAGAGAAACGGCTGAATGAGTGAATGAGAATGACTGAGAGAGTGAGAGTGGGTTTTTTTTCTAGGTTTAGGTTTTACTTCAGTTGATCTAACCGTCCATATTCAATCTCAACATCTAAGTTAGATCTAACCGTTCATTTTTTTTTTTGTAGATTCTAGAATATTCATCTAGATCTAACGGTCTAGATTTTCTTTGTGCTTTTCTAGGTCTTTTTGACCGTTTTTTTTAATTATTTATTATTATTATTATTATTATTATTATTATTATTATTGTTAGTATAATTATTTGTTAATATTATTATTATTACTAGTTTACTACTACTATTATTATAATATTATTATAATTATTATTATTATTACTATTATTATTATTATTATTATTATTATTATTAGTTTATTACTTATAAGTTATAAATTGTAAGAAACGCAAATGTTTCAAAATTGAAATTGATTCAATACGACATAGTTAATGACTTAATGAGTTAATGGCTTAATGCTCATCAATATGACAATATCTGACATCTGTGAGTCTGTGATTGTATATCAGTATATATAATAAACTATAAAACTAATAATAACTTAATAAGTAATAATACTAATAACTAATAAAGTAATGAAAATCTAACCATTGTTTTTCATGGGCATTCAATCTAACCGTTGTATATTTGACTATTCGTACATTAGTATTGCATAATGCTTTCATCACCACTTTAATTAGTGATTTCGTGATTTCGTCCATTTAACTTATTAAGTTGTTTGAGTTAGTAATCTAAATAAAGTAACAAACTAAATAACGAATCCATTTAATCTCGTGTAAGTTATAATTTATATGAAATGCAATGTTTGGAAATGGAAATTGATTCAATACGATATTGTTAATGTATATGTAATTATAGATTAATTATTATGTATATCATATCGTACGAATGTATGGTTGGTATCATTATCATACTATCATAAGTATCATTGCCTCATTGAATTATTGGTATGTACTACAAATCTACAATCGATAAACATATTTACATATCTGATTATTAAAACTTAAAAGTTTAAAACACTTGTTGATCAATCTAATTGAATATTTGTACATTCTTAATTATCGATTTATCGTATTATAAGTATCAACTCATTAAATCATGGTCATGACGCGATCTTTAAAACAATCATGAATTCAATTCATGACCCAAACCGCTTATAAACCGAACCGACATGATCCAAACCGTTCATAAACCGAACCAATTGAACTGTGTAAACCCTCTACTAAACCGGCCCATTTCAAACTGAACCGACATGATTCGCACCGTTTATAAACCGAACCGATATTGACCCGGGTAAATCCGCCCCTAAACCGACCCATTTCAAACCAAACCGGCTTGATCCAAACTGTCTGTAAACCGAACTGACATTGACCCGGGTAAACCCGCCCCTTAAACCGACCCGTATCAAACCGAACCGACATAATCCGAATCGTTTATAAACCGACCCGCTTATGACCCAAACCGAATTTAAACCGCAAAGAAATAAACCGAAACCAAACCGAGCCGTGACTAACCCAAACCGAACCAAACCGACCCGCCAGCTAAACTAAACCGTTTCAATCCGAACCGCTCCAAACCGAAACCGACTCAAACCGAGGTCAAACCGAACTGCCAGACCGAAGTCCCACCCCTACTTGCGATGGATATTAGAGTTTGGTTTGTTATATTTATGTTAATATTGTATATTTGGCAAGTCTATCTTGTTAGGAGTTTTAGGCAAGTTAGGTATTCTATTGTATTGAGTATATATTTGTGATTAATAGAATACACAAGGCTAACCCGTTTTCTCCCATCGTTCTTGAGTTTATCATGGTATCAGGCCTCTCTAATTTCTAGAGATTTTTTTTCGATCCTTGGTTTGTTTTAATTACTTCCGCATATTAATTGTTTGTTTGAGAAAATTAGGCTTCGAATTATTTTTCCAGATTTTTTTTATTATTGCAAATTCGATCAATTTGCTCATAATTAGGGCTCCCAAACCCTAATTAGTTGTTCTTGAGTGGTGCTATCTATTGTAGTACTGCTTGTGGTGCGTGCTGGAAGTGCGTGCTGTGTGTGTGCTTGGTTGGTGTGTTGTGCGCTGCAACATTGTGTGTGGTGCGTCGGTGTGTTGCTGTTGTGTGTGGTGCGTGGCAGTAGGTGTGTGTGTGCTGCGATCTTTGTGTTGGTGCGTTGCGTATTGTTGTTTTGCTGCTTGAAACAAGCCCCGAGACAGTGGTTTGCAAAACTGTCAAGTGCTCTGCGAGGTTTTGGGTTTAAAAACTCATATGCTGATTATTCTCTATTTAGCTATGTACAGGACAGTGTCTCTTTACATGTTCTTGTATATGTCGATGATATTGTTCGTTTTAAAGCATATTTGAGCAAATGCTTCTATATGAAGGATTTGGGTTTTCTTAAGTATTTCTTGGGCATTGAGGTCGCTCGGAGTCCAGCGGGCATCTTTCTTTCACAACAAAAGTATGCTCTTGATATTTTGACTGAGGCAGGAATGTTGGGTTGCAATACGTGAAAAAATGAATTTGACACCAGTTCAAACTCGGCGTAAGGCACCGGTTTGAACCGGTGCCAATGTGAGGGTGCCAATAAGTGGTTCAAACCGGTGCCAAAACTCAGAATTGACACCGGTTAACCGGTGCTAAAAATGGCAAAAAAAAAAATTGCTTGCTTTTGGCACTGGTTAACCGGTGCCAAACGTGCCTAATTTTTTTTTTTTTTGTTCTTTTGTTTTATCCACTTAAAAATTAAATAAACTAAACTAATAACCACATCAAAACATAAATCCAATATCAATCAATATCATCGAAGATTTATTGTATATCATAAAAAAAATTACAATATACATCAATAAAATAGTTCGATTACAACATATAAGTACGAAAAAAATTACAATATAAATTAAAAAAAATTACAATATAAATAAAAAAAAAAACCATTCACATCTAAATCGATATTCTTGTATCTTGTTTCTTCAATTACAGATCTAAATAACATACCTGCACCAATTAGAACAAAAAAAAAATCGATTAATATAATCAAGCTTAAAAAAAACCCAGAAATTTAATCCCAAAAATTCAAACCCAGAAAAAAATTGAAATCGATAAAAAACTTGAAAACCCAGTATTCGAATAAACCCAGAAAACGAAAAAAAAATTGAAATTGAATAAATCCAGAAAAAAAAACAAATCAAATAAACCCAGAAAAAAAAACAAAAACCGATTAAAATAAAAATCAAAAACCGATTAAAACCTAGAAAATAAAAAATAAAAATCGATAAAAAAAAAACTCAGAAAATAAAAATCAAAAACAAAATAAAATCGCTTAAATAAAAAAAAAATTCGATTAAAATAAAAAAAAAAACCCAGAAAATTTAAAAAAAATACGAATTAACAACCGAAAATAAACAAAAAAAAAGAACCCAGAAAATAAAACCTTGGATTAACAACCGAAAATAAAACGAACCCAGAATTAACAACCCAAAAAATAAAAAAAAAACCGAAAATAAAACGAACCCAGAATTAACAACCCAGAATTAACAATCCAGGATTAACAACCCAAAAAAAAACGAACCCAGAATTAACAACCGAAATTTTTTTTAAAAAAAACGAACCCAGAAAATAAAACCTTGGATTAAAAAAAAAAAAACAAACCCAGAAAATAAAAAAAACCGAATTCAAATGATTAACATAAAAAAAAAAATTGATTAAAACAAAAACCCAGAAAAAAAAAAAAACCGAATAACCTCGAATTGGTGTTGCATGTGGTGGTCTTGGTGGTGGTGCAAGTTGAAAATTACCAGGTTGTTGATTGCTGCCTCAGGGAGAAGAAGATCGAGAAAGAAAGAGAAAGGGGGCGGCTGACTCGATTCTAACGTCGATTTGGGCCCTTAGATCGACATTTCTGTGTGCTGGGCTGGGCCGGAGGTGGTCGTTGTGACGGTGGTTGTTGTGGCGGTGAAATGGCGGCTGAAAAGGAGAAGGAAGGAGGAGGAGAGGAGAGAGAAAGAGGAGGAGAGGAGAGGAGAGAGAAAGAGGAATGAATTAGGTTTAGGGTTGAGAACAACAACCGCTTTTTTTTTTTAAACTTAAAAGGCCGGTTCACACAGGTACCGGTTCAAACCGGTTGCCTTTATGTTTTTGCCACCGGTTTGAAGTGAACCGGTGCCTTTTATGTTGGTTTAGCTTCCGCACCAATTTTATAGCCCATTTTTGGCACCGGTTTGGACTGAACCGGTGCCAATTAAGGGGTGCCTTTTTGATATTTTCTACTAGTGGGTTGTAAACCCATTGACACTCCGATGGAGCAGAATCATCGTCTTGCACATGCTTCCGGTGAGCCGTTTGCTAATCCGGAACAGTATCGTCGTTTGGTTTACTTATCGGTCACTCGACCGGAGTTGAGTTATTCAGTGCATGTTTTGGCACAGTTTTTGAGTGTTCCACATGTTTCTCATTGGGATGCAGCCATTCGTGTCTTGCGCTATCTTAAGGGTAGTCCGGGACAAGGTATTTTGTTGCGACCTACGACGGATTTACGCTTGACGGCGTTTTGTGATAGTGATTGGGCGGCGTGCCCGTTGATTCGGCGTTTCTTGTCAGGTTATTTTGTTTTCCTAGGTCGTTCCCCTGTTTCTTGGAAGACTAAGAAACAGCCAACTGTAGCCACATCCTCATCTGAAGCCGAATACAGGTCTGTGTCCCTCACTTCTCGTGAGTTGAAATGGTTGAAAATGTTGTTGTTTATTCTTGGTATTAAGCATTCAAAGCCTATGCAGTTGTTTTGTGATAATCAGTCGGCTTTGCATATAGCTAAGAATCCGGTGTTTCATGAACGTACGAAGCATATTGAGGTAGACTGTCATTTTGTTCGTGATGAGTTGATAAACGGTAATATTTCTACCTCATATGTTCCGACAAGTCATTAGTTAGCAGATATTCTCACCAAGGCTCTTGGACGTCAACAGTTTGGTTTTCTCTTACGCAAATTGGGCATTCGTGATTTATATGCTCCAACTTGAGGGGGAGTATTAGAGTTTGGTTTGTTATATTTATGTTAATATTGTATATTTTGCAAGTCTATCTTGTTAGGAGTTTTAGGCAAGTTAGGTATTCTATTGTATTGAGTATATATTTGTGATTAATAGAATACACAAGGCTAAGCCGTTTTCACCCATCGTTCTTGAGTTTATCAATGGAGACTTGGTACTCAATAGCTACTTATTCCGCTAACATTATTAAGAACTTTATGTATGAGTGTGTTATCTTATTGTGCGTGGTTTTTTTCCATTAGGTTTCATGATCTTGATTTCGCACAAAATATGCTGATGACAATCATAATAGTTTGCAGCGTTAAATAAGTATGGCACAAAAATTTGTGTGAATTTCATGTTGTGCTGACCACTTCTAATTTTATGATAGAGGCATGGCATAATTCACCCTTTGGGATTGTGTCTTCCACTTCCTTTCCACTTTATATGTGTTTTTTCATGTGTGCTAAATTTTGTGTTTTTTTTTTTTCATTTAAAAAAAAATACCCAAGTATGAGTATGACATTAAATTTTTAATTTCTATATCAAAATTTTAATACTACTACAGGCTTAAATTTTTGTGCATGCATATAATTGATAATAGTGGAAAAAGTGAAACATAAACAATTTATACGGAGTAAGGTCCCGTTCACTTCACCTTATAAAAATAACATTAAGTAAAAATAATTTCAATTCAGTAAAAATTATTCCAACTCAGAAAAAATAAGTTCAGTTCAGTAAAAATAATTTCGGTTCTGTAAAAATAAGTTAAGTTCAGTAAAAATAATTTCAGTTTAGTAAAATTTTGTATCTTTAAAGAAAAAATATAAAAGAAAATCAGCAAAAATAATTTCAGTTCAGCAAATATAATTTCAGTTCAATAAAAAGAATTTAATTCCAGCAAAAAAAAATTTAGTTCAGTAAAAATAATTTCAGTTCAACAAAAATAAGGTGAAACGAACCGGGCCTAATACATAAAGGAAGTATAAATAAATATGGCTATTTCACCAAATGCCACTGAACAATTTAAAAATTCGTCAAATGCCATCGGACTTTTCAAAATTCACCAAATGCCACCGAGTTTTAAAAAAATTCACAAAGTGCCATTATTGTCTAACGGAGTTAACTCCGTTAATAATTAGGGCTTAATCATGACACATGTGGACAGTGTCAGTCAGCTATTGGTTTAAAAAAAGTACATAAAAAAAATTAAAAAAATTTAAATCTTAACCCAAACCAGCCCCCACTACAATAACCACCACCCAAAGCCAACCGACAGCCCAAAGCCAACCGCCATAATCCCTTAACCTCCAGTCGAAATCCACCGGAACCCCCTAACCTCCCTCTTGAACCCATTGACCCCACCAAAACCACTGACTGCACCTAATCCCCCTTTCCTCCTCCCGATAAATCACCCCAGCCACCGTAACCGTCTCACGCAATGCCCACAATTCCGCCTGCCCGACTCTAGCATCTTGACGACGACCTATAGAACTTCGCCTACCCGACACCCCCGCCGTGACCCCCACCCAGCCCTCGCAACCACCTCACGCACCAACATGACGCATCACCATAGCCACCGAAATCCCGGCCGATTTTTGGTGGTTAATGTGGTGGCCGGCCATTTTCCGACGAGATAAGGGGAGGAGCTAGGGTTTGGCGGTGGAGGGGGTGGCTGGGAAAATTTTGGGTTTTTTTTTTTGTTTTTTTTGTTTTTAATTTTTATGAATTAAGATAAATGGACCAATTATATCATGAAATGTGTCATGATTAACCCCTAATGACTAACGGAAGTCGTTGGTCATTAATGGCACTCGGTGAATTTTTATAAAACTGGGTGGCATTTGGTGAATTCTGAAAAGTCCGATGGCATTTGGTGAATTTTTAAAGTGCTCAGTGGCATTTGGTGAAATAGCGGTAAATATTTCCTTTTGTAATTGTATAGTCTTAGGTAGCTTGCAGGAAGCACGCCTCCTAATAATTATTTTTCTTATCTTTGTAAGGCCTTGTTCACTTCACTTTAAAAAAAATAATATTCATTAAAAATAATTTCAATTTAGTAAAAATAATTTTATTTCTGTAACAATAACTATAGTTCAGCAAAAATAATTTTAGTCCAGTAAAAATAACTTTAGTTCAATAAAAATTAGTAATTTCATAGAAGAAATATATTAAGAAATCAGTAAAAATAATTTCAGTTCAGTAAATATAATTTCAGCTCTGTAAAAGTAATTTCAGTTTAGTAAAAATAATTTAACTTCAGCAAAAATAATTTCAATTCCGAAAAGTATTAATAATTTCAGTTTAGCAAAAATTAGGCGAAATGAACGGGGCCTAAGAGGAAAAAAATTAAAAGTAATTTTTTTAAAAAATAAAATACTTCATCCGTTATTCATACTTGTAACACACTATTATTGGAAAACTTTTTTTGTTATGTACTTCCTCCGTTTTCTTTTACTTGCAACACTTCCCTAAAAAGGAAATGTCACAATACTTGCAACACACTATAAAAGGAAAGTTACTTTAGGGAAAAACTATATTATTTCCCTTATTTAAAGCACATGACCCACCAAATTACACTCCTAACAACCACTCATCCTATTTTAAAGTGTATTATATCATGTGAACCCAACATTTCTTAAATACGGTGAAAAAGTGTGTGTTGCATCTAAAAGTGTTAGAGATAATATCGGAAAATATATGTGTGATATATTTTCCGTATTGATCTTATTAGGAGAATAATATATTTAGGTTTATTATATGTTAAGATATTATTAAAGTATATCTTTTAGGAAGATTGTTTCCTATCTTATGAGCTTAGGTTTTGTATAAATACTCAACCTATTGATGAATAATAATTAAGTCATTCTATTCTCTCTCATAAATAATTTGTCATGGTATCAAGAGTAGGTTAAATCTTGGGACCGTTCATAAATAATTTTCCCCCTACCGGTGGGTTAGAAATTAAACCCACCGGTGGGTTAGAAATTAAATCCACCGGTGGGTTAGAAATTAAACCCACCGGTGGGATGATCCTTTAGCAAAAATTACCATTTTTTTTTTCACATAGTTTATTCCGCTGTGCAAGTTAGTGTTGGTGCAGAGTTTGAGTTGATGACTTGATGTATACATTACATCATGCGTGGTTAATAATTTAAAGATTGAGATTAAGTTGCTGGTGTGTGTCATGGTGTGGATCCTCCAGGACGAATAATGGGGGCGGCATACATTCACCAAAAAAAAATGACTATCTTGCGTCGTGAGACAAGATATATTTGGTTCTCCTTGTACCGTGAGACAAGGTTTGTGACTTGATTCGAGCATGATTTTGCTCCTTTTGATATGAGTTTGGTTTTCTGACAGACTAAAAAGTTTGAGTGTGGTTTACTCTGAAAGACCAGTAAAAGATTTGAGTGTGGTTTACTCTTAAAAGACCAAGAGATTTGAATGTGGTTTACTCTGAAAGACCAGTAAAAGATTTGAGTGTGGTTTACTCTGAAAGACCAGTAAAAGATTTGAGTGTGGTTTATTCTGAAAGACCAGTAAAAGACCAATATTTAATTGAGCTCGGTTTTGCTCTAGAAAAACCAAAATTGTTATATTTGCAAGTTCGAAAAGAATAACGCTCCTGCTTGATTGATGACTGAGTTCAAAAAGATGAACGTCCTCATCGTTGAAAAAGATGAAACAAAAATTGATGGCGACATCACAAGAGTATGCATCTCGACTTCAACAATTTGAAGAATTTCCAATCGCAACGTTCGTGTTACTGCCGTTACGATGTTAGAGATAATATCAGAAAATATATGTGTGATATATTTTCCGTATTGATCTTATTAGGAGAATAATATATTTAGGTTTATTATATGTTAAGATATTATTAAAGTATATCTTTTAGGAAGATTGTTTCCTATCTTATGAGCTTAGGTTTTGTATAAATACTCAACCTATTGATGAATAATAATTAAGTCATTCTATTCTCTCTCATAAATAATTTGTCATGGTATCAAGAGTAGGTTAAATCTTGGGACCGTTCATAAATAATTTCCCCCCTACCGGTGGGTTAGAAATTAAACCCACCGGTGGGTTAGAAATTAAACCCACCGGTGGGTTAGAAATTAAACCCACCGGTGGGATGATCCTTTAGCAAAAATTACCATTTTTTTTTTCACATAGTTTATTCCGCTGTGCAAGTTAGTGTTGGTGCAGAGTTTGAGTTGATGACTTGATGTATACATTACATCATGCGTGGTTAATAATTTAAAGATTGAGATTAAGTTGCTGGTGTGTGTCATGGTGTGGATCCTCCAGGACGAATAATGGGGGCGGCATACATTCACCAAAAAAAAATGACTATCTTGCGTCGTGAGACAAGATATATTTGGTTCTCCTTGTACCGTGAGACAAGGTTTGTGACTTGATTCGAGCATGATTTTGCTCCTTTTGATATGAGTTTGGTTTTCTGACAGACTAAAAAGTTTGAGTGTGGTTTACTCTGAAAGACCAGTAAAAGATTTGAGTGTGGTTTACTCTTAAAAGACCAAGAGATTTGAATGTGGTTTACTCTGAAAGACCAGTAAAAGATTTGAGTGTGGTTTACTCTGAAAGACCAGTAAAAGATTTGAGTGTGGTTTATTCTGAAAGACCAGTAAAAGACCAATATTTGATTGAGCTCGGTTTTGCTCTAGAAAAACCAAAATTGTTATATTTGCAAGTTCGAAAAGAATAACGCTCCTGCTTGATTGATGACTGAGTTCAAAAAGATGAACGTTCTCATCGTTGAAAAAGTTGAAACAAAAATTGATGGCGACATCACAAGAGTGTGCATCTCGACTTCAACAATTTGAAGAATTTCCAATCGCAACGTTCGTGTTACTGCCGTTACGATGTTAGAGATAATATCAGAAAATATATGTGTGATATATTTTCCGTATTGATCTTATTAGGAGAATAATATATTTGGGTTTATTATATGTTAAGATATTATTAAAGTATATCTTTTAGGAAGATTGTTTCCTATTTTATGAGCTTAGATTTTGTATAAATACTCAATCTGTTGATGAATAATAATCAAGTCATTCTATTCTCTCTCATAAATAATTGTCAAAAAGAAAACGGAGGAAGTATTAACTATTACAAACAATCTGTCACTTGCATTTTAAGTACTATATTAAATCATGTTGGACCCAATTATCTAATACACCCCGAAAAAATAATTCGTTGCAAGTATTAAAAAAACATAGGAAGTAAAAAGTAAATTGCAGGTCCATACTTATGCCCAATTATCCTTCAAAACAGTTAAGCCTACCAACAAAGTACATATAGGCCCAAATTAAGTTTTGTCATATTTACGCTGCATCAAAGAAGCCCAAAGCCCAATAAAAAAGTGTTGAATAGTTAAACTCCTTAATAAAGGGTGCTCAATTGATCATCATAAAACTCCATTTCCCTTAAAAGACAAGTATAAGGCTTGTAAGTTGTACCAAATCTAACCAATTTGGCTTTAACTCATACCAATTTGGTTTGAACTCATTTCATATGCTTCTCGAATTGACAAATGTCATCCTAAAATTTCAAACTTCCAATCTCGAATTGACAAATGTCATCCTAAAATTTCAAACTTCCAACTGGTAAATGTCATCCTAAAATGTTCAAATTGTTGGTTTATCAATGAATATTAGGAAAAATTACATGGGAATTTTGTTGAAATTGAGGAGAACATACACATTAGGAGTGTTGGAAATTAAATTTTGGGATGTTAACGAGATTGGAGTGATACGTAGAAATTGGAATAACGGTAAAGAAATAAGGAAGACGATATATATAACGCTTAGGGTTACATATAAGAAGCCTATATATATATATATATATATATATATATATATATATATTAGCATCATTTACACTAATTTATGTTTGATTTTGTCATGCATTTCTACAAATGCCAATTTAGAAAATTAGGGGTTACAATTCATAATTTAATCTATGGGACGGGCCATGTATGGCTCAGGTAAGTCCCGTTGGATCTGTCCATGATGAACGGGCCTTAGTTACCCCGTCTATTCTTTTTATGTTTGTTCCAATTTAAAATATTTCATTTGCTTATATATTAAAACCTTATTATAAATTTATTTATGTATAATAAAAGCTTATATTATGTAAGATTTTGTTAGATTCATCTCAATTTATCTTTTTTATAATTTCTAATCTAAAATATTAATGCACAAAGATATAAAATTAAAACAAATTAAAAAGTTAAATAGAACAAACATCAAAAACCGTATTTAAGGACTCGTTGTAAGTGATTCGGGTCGTGAATATAAAGATAAAGTCATAAAACACTCGCATTCTACTTGTGTTGTTTTTTTTTGGTGTTCTACCCGGTTCACCCTTTTGGGCTAATCCGAATTCGGGGATCAGTTCTGAGTGGTTAGGTTCCAGTCTCCTCCCAATTGTTGTTGCGGGGGATCGAACACAGGTCCTCCCTACCAAGTGTAGTCCCAATCACCACTACACCAACACCCAATTGGTGAATTCTACTTGTGTTGTTGAAACTATATAAATTGGACTCTATTTTAGTCCTCCGTATGCTCGTGTGCCCTAAGGAATAATAACGAAATCAAAATTTCAGTTACACTTCCTCCAAATAAAAGTCAACTTCATTACTCGTAAATAAGTGCGCTATAAATAAACCTTTTTCAATTACAAACGTACTAATTAAATTCAAGATTATAAATACAAGATTTTTGAGAGATCATCCAGCTATAATATTAGCTAGGTATTATGTATCAATTCTTCCTAAGAATCTCTCCATCTCAAGTTTCTTTCATAGAATATAATAATCTTATTATATAATATTTTTCCTCTTCCTTTATATTCAACTATACTTTATTTTATTTGTTGAACTCTTTTTAGTCTTCATTGATCTTATACTTATAATTTCTCTCTTTCTTTTTCTTCAAAACCAAAATTAATCATGAAAAATCAAAACCAGCAAGAACAACAAAAACCTCTTTTTCTACCCCTACCAAACAAATTAATACACAATTTTATTAACATTATTCCATACATTCTTATTTTTGGTTGTGGCATAATTATTGGTACGTCTTTTTCTCCTAGTACCATTTTTCCGGTCGATATTGGTAATCTTTTTGTCACCGTTAAAGTCTTTAACACCACAAAGGATTCTTTACTACCACAACCACCACCACCGCCCCCGGCTCTAGAATTAGAGCGAGGCAGCCCACCACCATCGCCGCCACTCGCATTGCCACATCATCACATGGAGGATGAGGAGTTGCTATGGAAAGCATCAATGGTGCCCAAAATTAAAGACAAGAAATTAATGCAAAGAATAATTCCGCAACCAAAAATCGCGTTTTTGTTTTTAGTACGTGGCGCTTTGCCATTGGCTCCTCTTTGGGATAAGTTCTTTCTTGGGTATGAAGGTTTGTACTCCATTTACGTGCATGCTAATCCTTTGTATAATCAGAGTTATTCAAAGGATTCTGTGTTTTTTGGCCGAAGAATTCCTAGCAAGGTACGAGTTCAATCTTGTCCTTTAACTCCCGTTTCCTTTTAGTTGTAACATTATTTACTTTTGCACTATTCACATACTCAACTCAATAAACTTCAAAACCGAATATCTTAATTAAGTTTGCGTTGTCTTAATATTGTGAACTGTCGAGCATTGAATACAAATACATGAATGTGATGATGAATTGTTAATATAATTGAAGTTTAAGGCTTTAAGCGTTTGAATTTTCCCAGCATTTTATTAGCTGAGGTGTTACATATATAATTAATTATATTGATCATGCAATAATGGTAAATTTAATGTTGATTTGGAAAATTAAATTCACAAGTTTGTACTCGTCGTATACTAGCATTATTGTTTACGCTGCATAATAAATGGTTGAAAATCAGGAGCATTTTTAAAGGGAAGCTTTTATATCCGTGCATTAATTTCTGATTTTCCACGTTTTTTTTTTGGAAAGTTAGATTAATTAGTATTGGAAATTCTCATTATCGTCAATGGACTACCAGCGAGATTAGAGTTTGATATTCCGCAATGATTTTTCCAATGTAATATATAACTATGGACCTATCGGTTTATTGAGTGATTTCAACACGTCTAAAATAATATTGGCACTCCCACTTGTGAGTTGTGACATCCTGACTTATGAGTCAATTACACTAAAATCATAGTGTAGATTTATTGATGATCAACTTTATGGAGTGAAAAAACTAAGTTTAAGTAAAACAAGGAATTCTTGTCCCCAAAAAAAAAAAAAAAAAAAAAAAAAGGAAAAAAAGGAATTGAAATAGGTTATTGCATGACAAAGTTTAGAATTTATGCTCTAAAGAATGATGAGAAAGTTGTTATAAATTTGGAGCTTTTTGTTTATGGTAATTTTGGCATATTCTAGCATGTAAAGATATATTTTTCATCAAGGAGTAAAAACTTTTTCTTGTACTTTGCTTAGGTTCTACTCTTTTGCACAACTAAAAAAGCAATTTCATCTGTTTGTCTTTGGAATTTTGGTCGTCCATAGAATCCTCCCTTGCTTGTTCATTCCTTTCTTCATTTCAACTATAATATTCTAACACACTTTTTAACAGAATTTAGTCATTGAAAGTTAAATTGTGGGCTCCATTAGCAAAGTAAATTGATACATTTTCTTAATCCAACATAGAGATTAAATGTTTATTTTAATTTTTCGAGTTCCGCAAAATGCTAAAGTTATAAGGTTTAGACGATAAATTGTTAAGACAAGTTGACTCGCACACCCTGTACCCATTTACAGAGTTTTATGACTATGTAGTTTAGTAACTAAAATACCTTCATTTTAAAATGTGTGCTTTGATCAATTGTATCAGGAAGTGCAATGGGGCAAATTCAACATGGTTGAAGCTGAACGTCGTCTACTAGCCAATGCCCTCCTTGACCACTCCAACCAACGGTTCGTTCTCCTCTCGGAGTCCTGCATCCCATTGTACAACTTCTCCACAGTATACACCTACCTTATAAACTCCCAAAAGAGCTACATTGAGGTTTATGACAAAAAAGGCGGTACAGGCCAAGGCCGTTACAGCCTCCACATGTACCCTCACATTAAACTATCCCAATGGCGAAAAGGGTCTCAATGGTTCGAGATGAGTCGTGAGCTAGCCCTCGAGGTAATATCAGACCGAAAATACTATCCCATCTTTGCAAAGTACTGCAAGAACTCGTGTTATGGGGACGAACACTATATCCCTACTTATGTACACATCAAATTTGGGAAGGAAAATACAAATAGGACAGTTACTTGGGTTGATTGGTCTATAAATGGACCTCATCCTGGTCAATTTCAGAGGCCTAGTGTTACACCTGAGTTATTGGAGAAGTTAAGGACTAAATATACTTGTGAATATAATGGGAAGAAGACTAATGTTTGCTTCTTATTTGCTAGGAAGTTCATGCCAAGTACCTTGAATAGATTGTTGATGTTTGCTCCTAAAGTGATGAAATTCGGGTCATAGAAGTATATTGATGTATTAAGTATAAGGAAATTGTGTTTGAAGATGAGGAGAGTTGAGAATTTTTTTCATTGAGCCATGATTGTATACGGTTATGTAATGCTCGATACATTCTTTATAAATGAAACCTAATAAAAAGAATATTTGTTGTTTGTTGAGAATTTTATTTTGTATGTTGGAATATATGGTGTATTATGTACTTCTTCTGTCTCTAAATAGTTGTCATGCTTGTTGTAAATGGATGTTCCCAAAAAAAAAAAAAAAAAAAAAAAAAACACGCAAAATGTAGATGTGTGTTCACAAGCTCACTCGAGAAGGAAAGGGTTTTTAGGTCATTGGTAGAAGTGTAGAAATGATATTTCAAAATGTAAGGTGATGAAAAGAAAGTGATATAAATGGTTGCTAATTTAGCAATTGAAGCTGTAGAGATTTTTGCTTACCATTCACCAAAAAGCAGCTGCAGGTAGTAGGCGGTTAAGTGGCTAACAACGGCTGCAACACAAGAGCACTAACACAGGGGTAGCTAATGAGATGCTAACCCTGTGCCACTGAGTACTGGCCTTGCGTTGGGCGTTTACGAGAATTATACATTTAATATCAGCTATCAAGAAAAAAAAATCCATTATGCTACTTTAAAAGGCTGGATACTGAGTGCTGAAGCATTTTATTAAGAATGAAGATATCAGGATTCAGGACTGGTGCATTGTTCTATTTACAGTGTTGATGCCACAAAGGGAACAACTGAACAAGCTACTTGATTAAATTAAATAACATTATAAGCTTTATAACAAGGTTACACCTTCAAATCGACGCGGCTCTTATTTGATTAGCATCTGTTATAAATCTTATAATACAATAACTGAGTTTATAAACATGGGCAAACAAGATAGCTCTTATTTGATTAGCATCTGTTATAATACAATTTAACTGAGTTTATAAACATGGGCAAACAGGATAGATCCAACCTTGATGATCTTGTTTATTTTTGTGCAGCTTCATACTTCATTTGCCATTTAAATGCGAATCTGACCTTTGCTCAGAAGAGAATCATATTCATCTTCAAGCTTCAATTCCTGCAGTTTGTGACCCAAGTTCCTTAGCATCATATTAATCTGGCATTAGTTGAGATTTGAGAACCCAGCAGACCAAACTTGGCCCAACATTGCAAAATTCATAATTTAAAATTGGGAAAATTAACAAGGATAATCCCAACTATTGATGTTCTAACTTTTATCTCAATTACGTTTTATCTCTAAACAATCACAATTACATGAGTACCCTTCTCAAAATAGTCTCCCTCATATGGGTTTATTTGGTGGATGGGTAAAAAGGAGACACATTTTTCAAGTGGGAAAATCAAACCTTGGTGGCAACCACCAACTCAATCTAAAAAACAATCCCACAAAATCAAAACCTTGGAAGCAACTCAACCGAATTAACTATCCCACAAACATAATGCTCCAAACAAGAATTAGAGTTTAGCAACAAAATTTCGACTACTGCCAAGCCAAATGACCAAAATTTATCCCATATCATTTATCATTTCAAAAGCCAAACAATTGATTACACTGAACTAACTCATCCCTCAATCATTTATTCATTTGATTGATTAAGTAAATATACTTCATTGGTGAGGTTGAAGATGATGAATGGTTTTTTTTTTTTTTTTTTTTTTTTTTTTTTTTTTTTTTTAAAAAAAAAGGAAAAAAAAAAAAGAAAGAAAATTGTGGTGATTTGGTGAATGGTGAATGTAACAAAGTGAAAGTTTAGAGATTCAGAGCAGCCAAAGAAAGAAAAAACAAAACAATAAAAACATAAGGAGAGAGAGTCAGTAAGAAAAAAGAGTAGATGGCTATAAAAAATTACCTGCTCTTTAGATGGGATTAACCAAACTCAAAATATAGTTGGGATTAAAATAAGAACCCCGATAGTTGAGATTATTCTTATTTATTTCCTTTAAAATTTCGAACGTAATCACAATCAGAACTTCTAGGTTAAAAGTACCTTACCAAGGACGGCATATTACTGATATTAGCATACCTTTTGACAGAAGTAATCATTATTAGGTGGGGATAGGCACCCCGGTCTCTTCTGTCAGTTTTTGGTATACATTCTGCAACCTTCGTGTCACAGGTCCTACCTGCCCCTCTCCAATCGAACGCCCATCAATCTTCACAACCTGACAATAAATATCCCATAAAGAATTTACACAACATGGCTCGAATAACTTTATAAATTCATGGTGCACACATGACAAAACTTACAGGACTAAGTTCACCCATAGTTCCAGTAGTCCACACCTGCAACAAAAATTAGCCACCAAATCAGACATAGAAGGCTGAATCAGAAAGAAAAGGCAAAATAATATCATTTTCAGAACCACACATAAGAAAATGCATTCATAAGCTTCTTGGCCTAATCGACACCAGTCACACCACATTAGAAAAATTTTGCTTCATAATAAGCATACATTGGGATTCAAGTGCATAAAGATAATACTGAACGCCAGATCTACTACACGTTGTCCTAACAGACAACTCTTTGCTGGATATTACAAAATAACAAATGGTTTATGCATTAATAGCCATGAAATTTAAAACATTTGCCATATGCCCTAGGGCAACACAAATCGGGATGAGTAGAAAGATGACTGGAGATTCTATCACCACAACATATAGTTTTTAAGGCATGATTATGCAACACCAAAACACTGTAATGATTCGGAAAATTAAAATATCATTAAAATAAATATAGCGTAATTCAAAACAAAACAAAAATAAAAAAAAAAAAATAAAAAAAATAAAAATAAAATAAAAATAAAAAAACAAACCATAAGATTAGTAAGCTAGAAATTTAGACCTCATCTGCAGTATGAAATTCTGAGAGACTAAGTCGTCGCTCCTCTAAGACAAAACCTTCCTTCACCACAAGGTCCATGACCTATACATATAAAAAGTCGAATATTAACATTTTACAAAGGTAAATAAAACATAATAGCAATATAGTTCAGGGGGAGGGGGGGGGGGGTTCTCTCACTTACTCCTCAGAAAAGTCAGAATGCACAGTGCACTCAGTATATATGGATGAAGAATATTCATCAAATTTCCAATTAATATACACAGTAGAACATGGAGGTAAGCAGTAGGACTCCTTCCGTTATTGAATATTTGCAGCACTTTGACTTTTGCACTACTCACATACACTCTTTGACTTAATTTTTTACTGTATAAGATGAATAGATGTTACTGGTAATATATCGTTAGATTAGTTACAATGTCTATATTCATAAATTATTATTTTTTACAAATTTTACTAATAAGAAATTAAAGATATAAAAATTTATGTCTCACTGGTCAAAGTGATGCACATAAAAAAAAACGGCGGAAGTAGTAAACTAAAAGCACCTATAAGAGAAATGCAGTATAAGGATTATCATATATATGTTGCATTGTGAGTGTGTGTGTGTGTTAGGCTTGGCTGCAGCATTATTCAAAGCAAACTTCATCTCCTACTTTATGCCCCTTTAATTTTCAAAACCTCCAGAAACACATAGACCCCTAATAACACTTTACTACATTAGACATGCTTTTCTACACTATCTAACTTTCGGTCAAGACTTGAAACTCATAAGACTGTAGTTATATTTTATTTAGATGCTTGTGAAAATTGGTGCAAATCAGTTAAATTTGGGTTTTGGACCAATTTTATCAATCTGGTCCATTTTTAGGACACCCCAAAAACCACCAAGATACCTCACATAAACATGAGGACCCCAAGAACAAACTTCAGTACACCCCAAAAAGACGTAAGTGATGATGAGTAAACACATGACTGGTTATAGCCAGAAAAAAATTACCTCCTGAGCCTTAAGTCTATCAACCCACCCACAGTATTCTTTCGAAATTGCACTTGATCTACTAATAGTGAAGAAGCCCCAAATCATTTTATCAGTAAAAAGTTATAACACTCTCGTTTCCTACTTTTCCTTACATGAACTACCCATAAGATACTCTCTAACCCTCTATTTCTTACAGGTGCCCTCCCCTGAAAATATGTGTATCCATCGTACCAGTAACTACCAAAAAGGAATGGAGATAATACTGTATCCTATATATACATAATTTTACGATTTATAGAGAAAATACAAAACTAGGAAGCAAGTGCAGAGATTGACATGGAAAATTCTTAATTGAAACATAGGCAGGGCCGCAGGGGTTATCCAAGTCAGAGCATCACAGAAAATCCATTACTTAAGCGCAGCTTAAAACGTGCTAAGATGAACTACATCCAACATGCTTTGGGGGGTTTGGGGGGGGGGGGGTGAGTTACACGACTTACAGTAGCTCGAGTTATTCCAGGAAGACAGTAGTCCGCATGGGGTGTCAAGACTTTGCCTTTTTTCACCATGAACTGCAAGATGAAATTTAAACAAGCTTATAGAACAGCAGACTGTATATCAACAATTCAACATAGTGACATACATAAATAAACTTTTAAAAGTACGTCTTTAGCCAGAAAAGTAGACATTTTATTTCATAGGCAAGGGCCCACATCCAGGAAGGAGGGATTGGTAAGAGGAAGAGTCCCTGCACGCATAGGTGAGAACACCCATCACGATTTGTGAAAACTTTTCGACTTACCAAAACTCCAGTGCTCCCCAGGAAAATTTGTTGTATTTGCAAACAGGAGTGCTCCAGAAAGCATAATTATTATTAATTTTAAATAAGACATCTATACATCCAGGAGGACATGCATATTTAATTTGGTGATGGAAATTTTTTTAGTATTTGCACATCCATAATTTGCATATAACAGCCATGTGATCCACATTACAAGTTACTACATATGAGAAATTTTGTGAACTGTTCATCTGCTCGCAAATGTGAATGGACAACCTTCTTTCTTTCATTATCGGGTGAGAGAGGTGTGGGACATCATAAAGAGCCGCCATTTAGAATTATCTATAAAGTGTTTTTTTTTTTTTTTTTTTTTGAAGGTAAGTGGAAGTCAAAAAAGAGTAAATAGATGGAAAAACAATCTCACAATATTCGTTGCATTTGTTTCAGAAACATATCCATCTTTGTCGAGCATTATGGCATCATCAGCATTTGCATTGTTCCCTTCTACCTGCATCAAAAAATGGGCTACTTAAACTTATACATCTAGAAAAAAATGATTCAGAAGTCAGAACCATCAACAATTTTGTAAGCCCTGAAAAAAATCTCAAAATTTATAAAACAGTAGAAAAACTCTATCGGTGTGTTTGGATTGAAGGAAATGGAGAGAAAGAAAGGGAAGGGAAATGGAGAGATGGAGTATTTTTCATTTGGATAACAAATGAGAAAGGAAGGGAATTGGAGGGGAGAGAAATGGAGGGATTAAATTATAGGAAATTGATCCCTCCAACAATGAAGAGATTTGGAAGGAAAACTCACCATTCTTCCCTCCCCTCCCTTTCTCTCCCCTCCTCTTCTCCTCCCTCCCCTTCTTTTCCTTCCCCTTTCTTTATCCAAACATACTGTATGAGATTTATACGGGATCTTGATGATATCAATGGTGAAGAACTACAATTATCGCAATTCATGCAAACAGAAGATACTACCTTTGCAAGTATGTTGTTCAGCAGGTTGTTGTGGTGGATCTTTGAATCCAAATTCTGCAAATCCCATAAAATAGAAAGGTGACATAGATTGTATATGCAATTATGCATTACTATCAGCTTGAAACACTTGCATATACGAGCCAAGTTGATCACTTGCATAGATTATAAATTGAATAATCTAATTTTATTATTTAGTTGATTTGCAAAGCTTTAAAAAGATATAATTCAAATCCTTCAAAAAAAAAAAGATATAATTAAAAATAATTAAAATCTTAAACCTCTCTGTTTCAAAAAAAAAAAAAAAAAAAAAAAAAAAAAAAAAAAAAAAAAAAAAAAACTTAAACCTCTCATCATAATCAATCGATGAAGATACATGAACATGTACTTATCACAAGGCCTAAATGCCCTGAAAATAATACGAAGTAATCAACAACATGAAGTTTCATGCATAACCTTGTAATTTTTTTTATCATGTTTGCATAGTAAGGAGACAGCCATGATGATGATAGAACCAGAAGAAAAAAAAAAGAAAAAAAAAAGGACCTAATAATCTTAACAGCCGGTACCAAAACAGTGAAAATGCCTGTCCAAAAGAGCTCATTATGAAAACTGAAAAGAATTATTTATTGAACTTGTTAGAGGACCAGTATACTGGCAGGAGTATTCAGCACTTCAGCAGTCAATAATGCTGGGGCCAAAACTGATCAGCAGAGCTGCCATCATCATCCAGTTCAAGTTTATATTGCTTCTACAAACTGGATCACAAAGGCCTATAATACTCCATCTTATGTTGTAAGTGCAACATATAACTTGAAACATAGACCCTACCACCACAAAGCCCAAAATATGCATGTAAACTGGATAAGCAAAGCTCATATTAAAACACACTCGAGCAGTAACTACATTAAAAACAAAATAAAGCAGAAGTCTTACATTTGGAGAATTGCGGCGGATTGTAGCAGTAACCAAAACTACACCCTTGGTGTTATCATAGACAGGTGGCTTCCATTCCGCAAGAACTACAAAAATAAAATAAAATAAGAAGAGAGTAAATGATTAGTCCTTGATTTTGGATAATGGAAGCTACACAATGAAGGCTCTCAGTCTAAAAGACAATCTTAAGAAGAACAAAGAAATAAAATAAATGTTTCATAAACATAACATTAGTGATATAAAAAATTGCGACCAATTACTCTTGCTACTACTCTCTCTATGCCATAAAGTACTTTACTTGCCTGAAATGTTGAAACTTTGGCTCACACAGTTTTCAAAAGAGTGACAATTATTATGCGATAGAGAGAGCAATCAAACCTATTGCTCACCTCAGAACAACTGCCCAGAGACTGACACTTGGATCACAATTCTATAAGATTCCTACCATGACATCACTTATCAACAGCACTTCTGTCGTTGGATGAGACAAATATTATTTCAGTATGCAAGGCTCAACATGGTGTTACACACAGGGAGTAGTCAAGTTCATGTTAGTAATTGTTGATGAAAAATCTTAGGTTGCTCTATGGACTTCTCCATACACTTGTCTAAGCTAATCAAAATTTCAAAAATAGAGTACCAAACTAGTAGAGCTACCTATTAAGGTGCAGCCATAAAGATTGAAAGCAGGACTCATTCCAGAAGTTACCTGCACAAATCCAGAGAAAAGTTTTTCTTCAGTAAAAAAGAGGTGCATCAAAAGAAAAACCAGAGCATCTAACGTCAATTAAGAGTTTTGGACAATATAAATCTGATTCTGCCAAGCCTAAAGTTTGGAAGCAGTAAATATACAAAGGAAATCTTTTCAAACATTACACCACCATGTCTAAATTGCAACCGTAATTACACCATAGAGAGGTGCTAAGTTGGTTGAAAGTGTATCCCATCTACATTTGCTAAGAATACAGCCCTAGAAAGCATTCCATACAAGATTAGCAGCTATGATCCGAAGGTTGACAGCTAAGTTGTCTACGGACTATCTCAACTCAAACATCTACACAACAAAAGGTTAAAAAAGAAGAAAAAGAAATTACCTTCTTGCCGCGAGTTAAACTAAGCCGTATATGAGAATTATCAAACATGCCATTCCTAATAAGGGTGGTGAAGATAGCTTGCTTGACCTGTTATAAAAAGCCTGTAAAATTGCCAGATATTGAAAGCAAAAAACAACAGAAACAAAAGGCTCTTGTAGAATGTTTAAGTAGTTCTGCCACCGCCACCTCACCTCTTCACGTGTTGGAACATTGCTGAAAGCCAGGGCTTTTGCTGAGTCAAACAGTCTGAAGAAAATTTGTGTGTCGTATAAATATAACATGAAATGGTGGAAACAAAAGAAAAAAAAACAGCAATAACAGCAGCCTATTTACCATGAATCTAACATATATCGACATAGCCAATATAACATATGAAAATTAGGATTTGCTAAATTAAACATAGAAAGTATCAACGTTACAATAATACAGCAAATTTCTACCCACAAAAAGCTTAAGAACAAAATCAGGAATGAAATATGGGGGATCAACTTTGCTCACCTGGGATTCATTGAATTATATTTTTTAAAGGCATGATACAGGGTTAATGGATATAATAAAGTCAAAAAAACTAACAAGGAAGCAACACAGTCTCCAGAAAGATACAATTCAATGAATAAAAAGATTATCATACTGAACAAAAAGATCAAGTCCAACGTCAGTCCTCTTCCTTGATATAAAAAACTAACTAGAAGGAAGAAGGCAATTAATGGTCTACTTTGAAATCAACACGTGATTCCTAAAACAATTAGATCAAGAACCCAACATGTTTTCAAGCTTCAGTCATGTTCATTAATCTGATCCCCAAACATAGAAAAACCTACATACTAAATCAGGCAACCATGGCTTAATCTGAGCACAGTTTTATATAGTGACTTCCCCCCTTTATATCAGCATATAATATATTCAAAGAACTCTATTGACACCATGTATCATTTGGAAAAAAATATAGTAACTACCAAATCAGTTAAGAAGTAAATTGTCTGTACTGACCTATCCAAATGCTCCTCAAGCTTAAAAATTTTTCCTTTGTATATGCGGAGTCCTTCCCAAACAGAATCACCTCCTTGTACCACTGAGTCTAGAACTGAAACCTTGAAGAGGCAATAATACAAGAACAGGCAGTTAACACTTATATTGTTAACACACAGACAAAATGTATATATTTAGCAGCTATCCCCGAAAGCCCCAAGTGTTTCAAAGCAGAACACGATTCACCTTCGCACTATCACGAGGTAGAATCTCATCACCAACCCATGCAAGTAAATTTTCATTCGCTGGAACAGGAAGACTTGGAGGGGGCAAGGGTGAGCTAAGAAGGGGATGTGACCGCTTAAGACGACGCTTGAGAAAGTTGTAGAAGGGTAGACATTGTTCCAGCAAGTCATAAAGAGAAGAAGGGAATGTCTGATACATGAAAGCAGAAATAAATTACAAAAAGAAAAGGAAACACAAAAAAGGGTTAACAACAATAACAACTAACATCAGCTTCCGTTTCCAGCCATGTAAAGAAGTGAAACTAAAATTCATTCTCAAACTTTTTAGTTATCCTATCTCCCACGAGTCCCACCCAATGAAAGAGGAAATTTAAAATGAAAATCCTTAAAGTTAAAATTATCAAAATAAACATATTACTATCTAAATCTAATCAAGCCAAATTGAACTTTCAGGATATCTACTGGCTACCCTGACTTTATCTCCAAACCATGAAAATGGAAATTAGCATGATATACACAGACATGAATCACATGATTATACAAAACCTATAAACACTCATCAAGTTATTCCTTGACACAAATTCTAGAGAGCATTTGTAAAGACATTATGACAGGACCTCAAAGATGCATCTTGGAAGTTGATAGACTCAGAGTCCTCAGACAAATACAGATGAAGATAGGACTGATAGAGTGATAGGTGTCATAATTTTAAGACATGTAATAAAAGTCACAAAGGGGATGTACTGTCACCCATATATAACAATGAGCCAAGGTAAAATAATTAAGTTCCCTCAATCTATCATGCAATAATTTGTCTACAAAATCAAGCAAAGTCCGGAATTGCTCAGGATTATACGATAGCTCATAGGAAAGAAAAGGAACTTAGAAATCCTATGGGTTTTTTCTTTCGAAGTGCACTACAATATTGTTAAATGGATTTGTAGAAACTGCTATCAGTTGAAACTAATGATCCATCTGTATTGTTAAATAACTCATAATCTGTATTAAAAATTGAAGCAAAATTTTTGACACTCGTTTCAACCCCTCAAATGATCGCCTTCATTAAACATTCAGAACTTTGATGTTACATTTCCTTAAAAGAAAACACCGGCACAAGTTCTATAACCTTCCATAAGTAAAGAATGGGTCAACAAAACCTTGGGATATCTGCGTTCTGTTTTGAAACCAGTTGATTTATGCACACTTTCATACCACCATGGAGCCCAGACACCGTCTATGTTCTTTGGACCAGCATTCCATCTGATGAAAAAAGAAAGTTATTTAAATTTTGACTACCTATAAACTCAAAACCACAAAATTATCCCATAAGAAAAAGAAATTAATATGCATGTGCATTTTATTTATATGAAAATCATATGCAGTAAGCCAAAGGTGAGGATGGGATTGGAGGTGGATTTACAAGCCTTAAGCATAAAAAATGAATTTGAGAGGCCAATCTGGTAAGAGTTAAATGCAACTAAATCCATTAAACTTTAATTCATAACAAAACTAGACTAATGGTATTGAGCAACTTGTATAAAACAGAGGGAACATCTGCATATACAAGACTAATATGATCCACTATCAATTAATTTCCAAGCAAGGCCAAAGACATTGAAGGGAGTGCTCTTATACAGCACTTGTTTATGGAAAATTTTCAGTAATTTTTTGATATTCAAATAATATATAGCCAAATAATTTAAGTAATTAACTAACAATCTGAAATTCATGAGTCTGATGAGATGAAATGTCTAAAATATTCTCCTTCATAAAACACTACAGCTATATGAACAGAGGACTAGTAGAGTTCATGCATGTTTCTCACTTGAGCATTGCAGGCTGAAAAGGAATATTCAGGTCCTGGCATAGACCACGTAAAGCTTCCTGCAGAAACAATCACAAAGACACCAATTTATAATAATGATGAAGAAATAGGAAGCAAACTTCCAACAATTTAACAAGACATTCTCATAACAACTTGAGAGCCAAAATTGAACCTTATCTTACCAGATAACAAAAAAAGAAAATTAAATACTCATAACATTGCAAATAAACTTTCACCAAATAATGAATACACTTGAGCCTAAACTCCCACGTACTGTAAGTTCAGTTATATACTGGGACACTAAAGATGATGCTAGAGTTTATTACGGAATATTTACGCAATCTTTTCTTTCACAAAAAACTTATTTTAGTAATCAGCCAAAACCTCAGCCACTATTACAACCATTCAGCAATTTACTTGTTTCATCTGTACAAGTGTACAACAATGGAAATTAAAGAAGTACAACGTACAAGGTCGAACAAAATATGATGTGCATTAAGAAAAGTTTTTGTAACAACATATGATGTAAAAGATTTTAAAATCCATCATGGACAAATCTTTAATAAAAATTAAAAAAGTAAATATCAGAACAATATAGGAGCATAGTGTAAGATCAACTAGCAGATATGGTTTTATATTCTGTCGTTTATCATTCATCTGTGCAAAGCACAATTTTAGAAAAAGAAAGCGCACTGTATATTCTACATGCAAACCAAAAATCTCATGATTAAAATACTACTGAAAAGTTTGAGCATTAACCTCTGGATCTCGTTGAAGATCTCCAGCATCAATGACAGCAGGCGGATTTCCTAGATCACAGAGCTCACTGTATATGGTGACAAGAGCAGCTAAACCAACCTCGAGAAAAGTTGGGGGCACAACCTTGTCAAAGGATGACTAAGAATCAAACATACAGATAGTTAGCACATTTAATAATAAAACAATTATTTGTAGAGAGTAGAGACGCAAAAACAAATTTCCTACAAGTAGCTATTCAGGCACTTCACGTGATGATGAGTTTTGCATACTCACTACTTCAGAGAAAATTAAAGATAAAAAACAATGAAAACTCACCAGAACATCCATTGGATTTCTTATCAATATGAAGTGCTTTCCTTTCTTCATCAAACCATCTGGCAAGCCAGGTAGCCGTTGTTTAGACATGTGCTGAAACCAAAATTAGGCTATTTTCATACACAAACAATAAGGCCTTAAAGCTTCAGCAAGTGTTCAAAGATAAAGAGTGCTACAAACTATTGGTGAATTAAGTAGTCTTCCAGATGATCAAGGCAGCCACCTTTGCTCTAGTATGGAGTATAGAATATACCAAAGGTCTAAATATTACAAGATGATAAAAAGATCAATGAAGTTTCATCATATCCATGTACAGATGTACTAGTTAGTAGGGCTTAATGGATTTCCTACATTCATTATAAAAAAAAATAAAAAAAAAGCATCATTGCTTTGTCAAACAAATTTAGACGAGCAAAAGAGCAAATTATATCAACAAGAAATGGTAGTAATCAAATAACAATAGCTAAAGCTAGTTTTAGCTAAGAATGTGAGTAGAATGGATGTCAATTACACAGAAAAAGGTGATATCCTTGAACACATTATATCCTTGAACCTCACTCAAAGCTTATATGTGCTCAATTATAAGGCCCAAGTATTTGGATTCACATGATACCAAAGTGGTTCACTCTTCAGTCATGCAATAGCTCCTTGACACAACTTAGTTCTTGTACTTCCTCAGTCCCAATTTAGTGTACCGACTTTCCTTTTTTGTTTCTCAATTTAGTTTGCTCCTTTCTACTTTTGACAAGGGGCTACTAAATTTTTAAATAGTTCTTTCTTAAATCACTAAAAGTTGGACCCCACCCTCTCTTTCATTCAATTAAGAAAAATAACCCACTACCTTTCATCACACCTACTTGATGTGAGAGTGGTGTGTCAAGCATCCACGTACAACAAAATTATTTCCTTAAACATGTTTAGAAACTTAAATAAAAGTCACTACATTCACAATATTTTTTTATGTGACATTCTTAAAGTCATCAAGTGCAACTAGAAATGAGATAATTACCTTACAAAAGCGATACTTTTTATTTCCAGGAGCATAGATGATCTCATTCACAACCTTCTCCACATCAGATTCCTATTAGCAATAAAAAATAGAATAATCATGGTAGAAGTAAAGAAAAGAAATTACAGTATTATTTTGTTTTAGGTGTGAAATTAGTGGTCATACTTTTTATTTCACCATTACATACCATGTTTGACAAAACCTCCTCTCGGTAACGCCGCTTTGCACCAGTAACTTGAAGAAAGTTCGCATAAAGGGGTTCATCAAGCACGTCAATATCATCCCGCTATTTAAAAAACAATAATGATGATAAATAAAGAGAACACTAGACATTATAATCAATAAGAAATTAAGTACTAGTTCACATAGAGCACATAAAATAGCCCCGGCCACACACGCGATCCCAAAACCCGCGTAAGGTTCCATCCCAAAACCAATTGGCAATGGTCAATGGAGGAGTAACTCTTAACTCATATCCTCCGTAACACCGTAACTACAAAGTAATTATCTTTCCTATTCTCCAAAGTATTCATTTGACCCAAAAGATTGACATGAAATTGAAACAATTAGCTAATTAGCAAACACAAAACCTAGGGAAAATAGCTTGTACTTGAATCATTTCAACATTTTTCTGGTAACAATTATGATAATTGCTATTTGCAAATAACATTAACAGATCAAAAGAATTGAACATGTTTAGATAAATCATGCAAAATTGATCAATTTACAATGAATAATAATAATAATAATAATTCAAAATTGAGCAGAAAATAGAAAATGGTGAAAATGTGAAGAAATTAAAAGAAATGAAAATGATTAATTACTTGAGCGAAGGAGTACATGAGACTTGTGCTGAGAGATCGAGGAGCAGACCATGAATGAATCACCTCCACTTCCGCCATTGATGAATGCTTCGTCTTAGGTAATGAGTAATGACTATGATTTCTGATTGTTTCAACGTTTGGAATTGCTGGACCCGCTTCAATTCATGACAATTATTTTGTCATTCTGTTTGAAGTTATATCTGAACTTATTACTGTTTGACTTATGTACTCCGTATATACAATATAGCAGTACTTCGTATATGATACTCCGTATGATATACGGAGTACTATTATACTCCGTGTTTTAATAAGCATTACAGGTTGACTTTTTTCACTATTCACAAATTGGATTTGACTCTATTATTTAACTAATATATATCCTCCATAATAAATAAATGTTATTATAATCCGTATATCTCTGTAATGTATACAATCATTATACGTAGTATTAATTTTCTTAAGATTTTACTATCATATATTAAGTAATTAGATAAATTAATGGTCAAAGTTGTGTCTTGGCAAATGTTATTATACTCCATATATCTTTGTAATGTATACTATCATTATACGTAGTATTAATTTTCTTAAGATTTTACTAACATATAATTAGATAAATTAATGGTCAAAATTGTGTTTTGGCATGCGTATTTGGTCAAAGTGTAATACTTATTAAAACACAAAGGGAGTATTAATATTAATTTATTTACAGAAATGTCATGCTAATTGGGATTTTATGTTAATTTATTCACAGAAATGTCTCTAGATAAACGTTTTATTGTTTATCACAAAGATAAATTGGGTTATTAAAATTTAAAGATCAAATACTCCGTATTTTAAGGTAATATCCCTAGGGCGTTAGATAAGAGAACTAAATGTGGAAATATTATTGTAAAAATAACATTAATTACATGATCGACGAGTGATTTTGTAAAATAACATTCCAAAATTAATACTCCCTCCATTTTTAAATACTTGCTCCAGGTCTCCATGCGCGGAGTTTTAGTAGAAATTAGATAAAGTAATAAAAATATGGAGCTAGTGGGGTTGGTGGAAGAATAAAAAATTATAAAAAAAAAAACAAAAGTAGTGGAGAGAATTAGAGGACAGAGAATATATGTTGGGATCAATAGGTGAAAAAATTGATTAAATATTGTAAAAACTTTCCAAATAAGGAAATGGAGCAAGTATTTAAAAACGGCCACAAATGAAAAGTGGAGCAAGTATTTAAAAGCGAAGGGACTACTATTTTAAGTACTCCGTAATACATTAATCTCTTATCTAACGCCTCGTGACACTTGTTAGCACTTTTAATGGTAACAGTAACTACATTCAAAATAAGTCGAACAATAATCAAATTTAAGATGTTTTGGTTTGAATTATTTGTAGCAGTTTGATCTGAATTTTCAAGCACCAGTATATTTTTTTATTTGATTAAACTGGATCCATTTACATCCTACTGCCCTTCATAATTCTCAATTTAACCTTATTATTCCCATCCACAGCATACCTCACTACACTTTTACAAGCAAGCAATCAGCAATGGACATCCACCTAACAAGCACAGCTCCACGCCTCCACCACCCTCTTCTCTATTCCCACCACAAGCACCATACATTGACTATCGTCGACCTTCACAATGCAAATCAAAAATCCATCAATGGATTATTCATGCCTATGCAAATTTTCTAAAACCTGTTGTAACAACGATGTTCCCGAATTCCACTACCACCTATACGCAGAGGCCTTCACAATGTTCACTAGCACATATGTGGAGGCATCAAGATTCTTTTTTTGCACAAAGAGAGGACAAAGACAATCCTCGTTGAGTTGCTACTCTTCCTAAATAGCAAAAAAAAAAAACACACACACACACACACTACCTTGCATAGCTGTTGAAATGAAGAATGAACTGATTTACAGCATCATCAATACTTAATACAGTAGATACTATCAAATATAATCAAATAAGAGTACTCTATGTTTTACATAATAATCCACATTTTAAACTATTTCCTACAAAATGCTTTTAGCACTCGTTACAAAGTTAAAAGGGAAGCGTCAACAAAACTACAAAAGAATTTTGCTTTCTTAATAGAGATAAATAGAGTTGTTGCAAAAATACATTGTTATGAGCACACACTTTCACTACTTTACTAGCTTATATAGGATAGCACCAGCAAGTGTACATCTGATCTCTTATATGATTCCATGTACGGTAGCAAATTATATGGCCTAATAGATTTGGTTATATCCCTAACAAGAAGATTACTTTGACAGCATAGGTTCAGAAAACAATTGAAAGTATCAATGTTTCGTATCACCGAGGCAATAATGGCCACGGGACCAATATCCATTTCTTTGATCAAGGTTTTTAAAGTCATCTCCTGAAATGTCGCCGTGTTGGATTCTGTGGAATAATCGCTGAGGCGATCTTCTTCTTTATTATCTACACGAGGACTACCATTCAATTTGCTGTCACTGTTTTTTCTTCGATTTAGAAAAATGGATAGCACCCGAACAAGATGTGGGAGGCATGATGGATCATAGATTACATCAGCTCCCAAACTGCAAGGCAATCAAACAAAATATGTTAGCTCAGGGATGCGAGTAACAGGTCATATAATTTACTAATTAAGGCCCTGCTTTGCCTGCAATTACTAAATTGAAATTATATATGCTGATTAAAAGCAATTTATTGATCTTCTTTTCTGATTATGACTGAAATGTGCATTGTTGTATAATTCTTTAAACTTGAGAAGAACAGAACTTCAATCTCTCCAGATATTAACAGCATTCTTTGTAGATTCTAGATAGGGTACCCTTAAGATAGTACATGCAACCATTAAAGTGTACTCAAACTATGTCCATGCTCAAGTTGACTATGCAAGCTGGTTCACAGTTGGCTATATGGCCTATATTTTATCAAAGCGAAACTTGCAACATTTCTACAGCTTAAATGCCCAATTGCCTGGTCTCAGACTTTCATACTTCGTAGCATAAAATTATCTTAAAGGGAGAAATCTCCATTGAAGAGTCACAACCAACTGATCCTCATAGATGAGTATAAATGAAAGAAGTGAAACGAAGTGTCACTTCAGGAAACATGATTACATGAGAATTGAACATCTAAAAAGCCTGCAAGTTACCAGCTCTTATGCATCATATCAGGTTAGGGTTTAGAATTTGAATCTGAAAACTTAAACAAGTCAAATTCAGATTGAGGTAATGAACCTATTTAGAGCTTAACCAAACACGAACCCGGCCAAACCCACCCTACATGATTTCCTCTTTCATCCTAGCCATCTTGTGGGATTGAGTTATGGGTTTGAAAATTGAAATTTCTTTAAACATTGGATATGGGTTCTCCTCATTCCAAGCCCATACTTTATACCCAAACCCCCCTGAATACTCTAGAAGCTAGAAATCTAGAGATTTACGCGTTGCTAAAGTTTACAACAACAGACTTTAGACAGCATAGAATATAAAAACGCATGGCAATAACGTAGGAAAACCATCCTCAAAAAGAAGAGATATATAGTTATACTAGCATAAGACTAACAAAGTAATTCTTACATAATATCAGACTTGATTTGCTGAAGTTCACTCTCTTTTGCAGATTCCCAAGGCAAATGTATGCATTGCACCTGCACAAAATGATAGGAAACTTATTCCTATGTAGGGTTAAGCTGTTACATAATAATGATTCTGCTCCCACACTAGCCATTCCGAACGTGCTAGCAAATGGAATATATTCAAATAATTACATAATAATACCAACTATTATAACATATATGATCCATTAAAGGTCAAAGCAGTGAGCATACACGTCAAACTAGATGGTTCAGTCTTTCTTTCCAACTCTATCCCTATCTTATCTATCCATACATTGTATGAAAAGCCAGCAATTAGTTTTAAAGTATATATATTGGATGAGAGTTTATAGCAAAATTCACACAGAATGCCTTCTAAAAATTAAGTTTTTTCCACATCAAACAAAGGTCACTGCTACATCCATTATCTATTAAAAAAAATCAAGGGAAAGAGTAAGGAGACCATCTTCCATACTGTGACCAAACTTTCCACAGACCAAACTAGATTTTTCTGGCAATTGGTACATGTGATGAGTACAGAAACATAATTTGGACTACCATTTTGAAGCACCAAGAATAAGAAAGGAGGAAAAGTATAGATAGTCAAGATAGAGGGATTAGTATTTACATTACATGGTGTTGCAATGGGCAATGCATAACAAAAGTAAATGCTATATACAAAAACTCCTAATTCATTTACATGTCGCTTAAGGTTTTACGTGCCACAAAGGCACATAGCACAATGACGCAGCACAATTGCACAAATAGAGCACAATCAAAAGATTAAAGAAGCAAACTCACAAGCATGGCAATATGAACCTAATTAGCTCTAAAGGTGGATTCAAAGATATAAATAGTAAATGCAAAGAATCCAATTCAAACATCTGGAGCATTAAGGCTTAAAGAGAGTGCTTATCAACATCAGATGTTAATGCCTTAAAGTAGTCATTATAACTCACCATATATGAGCTACCTGTACTTTTGGCTAAAGAAGCTTCTGGATCTTCAATCTTATTCAATTCCAAGTTAATCTTCAAATTTGCTAAACTTGATGCATCACCGTCAGACAAGATAACCTGCATTAAAAACACAAAAACAAGAATCAATACTCAGAAAATATGAAACTGCAATCTCGGCTGAAAAAAGCTCTTGGATGGAAATAATCGACATCTGGGGAAAAGCAGGGTCAAAAGACCAGCACCGGCAACAAGTCATCCTCAAAAACAGTACCAAAAAGAACAGGCTACAAAACTAGAAACAGAGGAAACACTGAGCACATTGAGAAAATGGGGGATAGTAGATAGACAAGAGAGAAAGACAACAGACATATGTGGTGCAATTTTAAATAGAGAGAAAAAATGAAGTGTCAAATCCTTTATGGTTTATACTAAGGGATTTAGATGTTTCCCATTTTAGGTGGCTTGGCCACTAGTTCTTATAGGCATCTATACTCTCCAGGAGTTAACAATTTAAATATTGGAATTCAGAAACATTCCTAACACTGCAACAAACACGAATAACTGTTCTGTTCTAGCCGCTAGGTCAGAGTATTAACCCAAAACATAGCCAAGCTAAACCCACAATGAGTCAATCTACCAATTAAAAGAAGGTTTCATCAACTCGACTCACCCCTCCCCGTCCAAGAAATGAAAAGGTAAAATTATGTTGAATAACGACAGTAAAACAGTTATCACAATTTATTAGATACATAAAACAATTTAAGATTTTCTTCTTATTATGAAGGAAATAAAATATATCGAACCTGAGAGGCTTTAACATGCTTAAGGCAGACACCAAGCAGACCTACACCTGAACCAACCTGTTTCACATGCAACGAACAAAAGAGCACAAGTATAATCAGAATTAACACAATCACGATCATGAATTATCAAATTGCAGTGCAGGATTATTTACTTATATAATATAGTTCCACAAGCCAAGTTATGGTCATTTTACAAAAGCGTATCAAGAATGAGAGACTAGTGCCACTTATAGCAGCTTGATTTCCTAGTTAATCACCAAGTTATTCACAGGATCAGCCATATTATTCTATGTAGTTCAACTTATAAACCTCTTCAAAAGAAATGTATTATGGCAAATACTTCACCTCAAAACATGATTTCCCCGTAAAAACTTCAGGGAATGAAAGAATAAACTCTGACAGAAAAAGACTAGAAGGCCAAAGAGCACACCTACACATTATTTACATAATTAGCTTGAATGTTCAAACTTCAAAGCAAGTAAATTAAATATGACTAGACTTTCAGTGCAAAAGGGAAATTTCTGAGCAAGACCAAACTAAATTAGAACCACTAAAAGACGAAGCTAACAAAACCATATGCTGAAGACTACAAATCTTAGCTTCTGACAATTCCACAAGAAAATTTTCTTTTCCAATTTTTCAAAATCATAATAAGATAAATACATAGTACAATATTCAGATTCTCATTAAATTCTGCGCCTGGAACAATGCTTGATAAAAGAGCAATATACCTACTGTAGTATTGTTGCGTTAAAAGAAAAACCAAGATTACAGCACAAAGGAAATAAAAATCAATTAATTTCATAATTTTCATTCGGTCAAGTGAACATAAAAGGGAAAAAAAATCTAAAAAGAACATATTGACAGAAAACTTACCCAGTGTCCCCTTGAAGCATGTTAAGAGAACATTGTAATGGCACAACCATCTGCATTTCACCGGGGTAACTAGGAACTTAAAAACATATCAGCAAAAAGAAGTGAAAGTGTTATCCAGACAGTAGCTCCACTAAAAACCCTCATGTTTGACTACGAGGAAGTAATGATTTAAAATTGCTTACTGTCATGAAAAATAAATGATATGCATTTCACAATCCACGCTTTTTCGTTCCCTGATGTGTCTTCCTACGATTTTAAATCAGAAGTACAACAAGACAATGCATATGAGTATATGATAAATGAGAACACCAACTCAAGGGCTTCCATGCAAAAGCAATATTGCCTAACCAAAACTGACCTTCAAAGAAACCATGTAGTGAGCATAACGTTCATAAAATTCATCCAACACATTGCCGCCAGTTAATTCAATTTCTTTAATGAGCTTCTTCAGAAATAGTTTCAAATAAGGCACATGAAGGTTCTCATCCTGCAACAATACAAAGCCAGATATGATTATTTACCAAAAAAACCTCCAACCACTGTACAACAATATTATTCTAAGTTTACTCAGGTCGTTAATCAATACACATTTTTAGTGGATAAACCTTGCACATATAAGAGAGCTATTGGCCAATTACCATCCATTACCACTTGGGAGGAGTATTGATGGTAATGAGTATTCATGAAGAAAAACACAAGTTTGGGATGAGATTGCATTACTAAGGACATTCAGATGTTGTTTTGTTAACTTAAATTTCTTTCCATTACCGCTATTTATTATCAGCTACTTAACGCCGATATGAGACATCTATATTCTCTTCTTTCAAGCCAAATATAGTACAGCACAAACGACATTACCCATGGAAAAAATTCTCATTGGTGGACATTCTCACACAAACTCATACAATCAACAAGCAACACTTCCCTTAAAATTACCTAGCTAAACAAACCCTTTAATGATGTCCCAGCTATAAATGAGTAAAGAAACAAACTTCTTCTGACAGGAATTAACTGTCACGTTAACAACATAATTTAAATGTAAAAGGTAAAACACAACACCTAAATCCGAACAAATATAGTACGTAGTATATGCAAAATACACTGATCAACAACCAGAAAATACCCGATTAGCTATTTAGCACATATTCCAAAAGCAAAATCATCATTGATCATTCATAACTTCCCGCCCTCCACAATAGGCAAAATCCAATTGGGGTCATACATAAATTACAGGTAAATGAGTAAAATGACAATATCAAATATTCTAAATTTCTACCCAAAAAAAAAATAAACAAATAAAAATTACAAGTTTGTTGATGCAATAATCCCAAACGAATTGTTGCACATCCTCTGAAATCAAGCCACCCCCACATTTCCTGTAATTGCATAAAAAAAATTGGGGAAATTATTAGAATAAAATATTAGTAACAAGTAATTTGCAACACAATTAAGAAGTATGGTGAAATGGAATTTTTTATTTTTTTTTTCTAAAAAATATTCAATTAAATTTTACCTTGCTAAAGAAATCAAAGAATCGGATGGTTCCATAGCAAGAAAAGCTGAGACCAAATACAGCTTGTTAAGGTCCAAGTTTCCCATGTCAAATTCCCAGTAATGGTTCGACATGATTAATTTATTTGGCTAATGGGGACTGGGGAGGTTTTGAGCCGATGGAAGGGGTTTGGGACTTTTTTTTTTTTTTTTTTTTTTTTGAGGAAAGAGGTTTGGGACTTTTGGGTAGAGAAGAAATACACTTGTGAAGTTGTGAACTTGGGTGTTGAGGAGTAAATATAGACCACTACCAGGTATGGATATTTGGAATTCATACCACAATAAAAAAAAATACGTAAAAAAAATTATAAAATTTATAAAGCTAAAACAAAATGGAAAAGGAAGAAGGATTAGAGGGTGAAAAAAACAGGAACTCAAAAAACTACCACTTACGAGAAAAAGCTCCGGTGGTCGGAAAATCAGTCCCACAAAAACCCCATCAAAGTTGCAGTAATCTTCCTTTCAAGGAGCGGTGCTCGATGTACTAAAGGTGAGAATTTTGTGGCTGATTCAAATTAAAGGAGTTATTCGAAGTTTGGTTGATGAAAGATGATAGTCGAAGGTTAACGAAGAATGTTCAAGGTCTATACTTACAATTGCAGCCATGAAAAACAGTGGGTTCAATTCCCAGAGATCGAAAGATTTTGGATATGAGGGGGTAGAGGTTGGTTGTCGGTGCTCCGTTATTATTGACTTGTATACTGTTATGGTTAATTTTAATATAGTTATCATAGAGTTGAATACTGTTATTGTAGAATTGTAAGAGGAGATGGAATATTTTTTTTACACCATAGTACAATCTGATGACTTACCATGAAAATATTGCGCAAAATTACATATTTGCCCCTGGTATGGACCCAATGAGTCCATACCTGGTAGTGGTCTATCAATACTCGGGTGTTGAGTGATAATTTGAAATTATGTTTAGGGATGTCAAGTCGTGATTTGAAGTTATGTAATTAGGGAAGTGAGACCCGAATCATGTTTAGGGATGTCAAATGATTATTTGAAGTCATGTAATTAGGGAAGTGAGACCCGAATGTTTAGGAATGTCAAGTGATGATTTGAAGTCATGTAACTAGGGAAGTGAGACCCGTCTCACTGGGGCGGGATAGGTCCCAATTTGGCAAGCGGTGGGGTAATTGAGGATAAAAACAAGGATTTTTCAACCTCTACTAAGTTGTGTCCTCTTGGACTCTACCTGCCGACGCTTTAGCAGTATTCGTTTGGTATTATTATATATTACTAGCTTATAATATTAACTAATATTTGTTTCGGGGTTTTCTGATGTCCTGCGGGAGAGTTACAATTCCGAGACTGGAACCGGACGCCTGTACCTGCAAAATAACGGAGACTCCTGAGAGCTCCGCCTCCAACGGTCAAGTTAGTACCTGATTAAGGAGTAATCAATACAGAAATTAAAGTAATGAGATCTCTCTAGGTGAGAGTGCTTAGTGTTGGTAATCTGCGTCGTTAGCGAGATTAGCCGGTTGTTAATAAGTCTGTTCTTCTCTGCTTGATCTCTTAATTATTCGGTTGTTGATTAATGAGGATTAATCGAGTATTTATAGCCTTGGGAAGCGTGCAACTCTCTAGGTTTAAGGTAAACCTAGGGCTGACCGGGCCTCTAGACTGAATTGGGCCTTGATGGCCGGTTGTCCCATTTGGCATGGGTGGACACGTGGCGTGTCTTAAGTGGTCCGTGGAGGACGTATCTGTGACTGACACGTGGCAAGCTCCTGTTGGCCTTCGTGAAGGACACGTGGCGGAACCTGGTTGGTCCACTTGTCAGACGGTGATTGGTGGATAAAAATCCCCTAATCATTTGCCCCTCACAGGTGGCACGCGACTGGTCACGTGTCGCCTGTGACAGGTGTCGCACGGTGACAGGCGACGGCCCGTTACAGGTGTCACCTTGTAGACGGCCGAGAGATTTTCCCGCCCAAATTTGAATTCGGAAGCGACCCTTCGCCTTCTCATTTTGCCTATAAAAGGAAGTGCTGACTTCGGTCATTTTCACATTTGAGAACTTTTGCGAGAACATTCGGACCCCTGAACTTGCTCTGACATTTTCGGACTTTTTCTGCCTACCGCCTGTTCTGACAAGCCGACTGACCCGAACTCTAGGACTTCATCAACCGTCACCCGTTCAGGTAACTCAGTTCTCTTACTCTTAATTTTCTTTTTATTTTTTGAAATGGCACCATGGAAGCACACGACACGCCCTAAGTTAGTGATCAGCCGGTCACCGGGGACGGCTGAATCTAGGACTAGGAGTGCCGCCTGCCCTTTTCTGGACCCATCTTTGCCCTTTATACAAAGTCCGACTGAATCTGTGTCTATGCAGAACGTGATGGCCAGAACAAAAAAGACTGCTATGATATCAAACTCAGATGGCTCCTCCCAAAGGGTGCTCCTTAGCGAAACATCTGACCAGGCGCCAGATGTAGAACGAGGCGACTGTCAAGCTGACAGTTCTGAGAGAGGGACCAAGGTGTTCCCTTCTCATCTAACCGTGGACATGTCTAATTTTCCTTCTGCTCCTTCTAAGGGAGAGGAGGCGGGCCCCTCTAGGAGAGGGGAGGAGTCGTCCTCTTCGGACTCGTCAGGGGACGAGTCCGAATCCAGCTCTTCTGACAATAGTTCTTCAGGCTCAGAAGAAAAACATAGCCGCCTACAAGAGGCGAGAAGTTCTCATGCAGTGGAGAAGGGGGATAATTGGGCAGAGCCGTCCGCCTCTTACAGAGAGGAAAACGCCCCCTACTACTGCAGGGTACCCCGGGGCCGGATCGCAACAATGCGAGACAACGTGGCGAGCTTTATTGCTAACCACAAAATGGGCCCGGAGTATTTACTGTTTGTGCCGGATCCAGAAGATACTGTCGTCTGGCCGGCTGGTACCAGCTATGGTGACGGCTGTTTTGGCTGCTATGTGGCGGCCATCAAAGCTGGACTGCGCTTCCCATTACATCCGGCTGTTCAGCGGATTTTAGATGGGTATGATCTGGGGTTATGGCAGTTAGCCCCCAACTCTTGGGTAAACGTACTCGGCTATGTGGCCGGGTGCGAATTGAACGGGGTGGAGCCAAGTTTTGAGGCTTTCGCCCATATGAACTATCTCAGCCGGACCCCTAAGTCGGGAGGTACCGGCTGGTATCAACTAACAAGCCATAGGGGTTACCTCATGACGAGAGGTAAGGCAAACAAATGGAAGGATTGGCGGAACACCTTCCTTATTATCGAGAGTTCAGACACGGAGCTGAACAAACGTTTTAACAAGTGGAACAGGGATCCGCCTCTTCTCGCAGGCGGCCGCAGCATGCCGCCTGTTCCCCCAAAGGCTAAAAAAGAGATCCTAGACAAAGGACTCTTCAAAGTAGAGACTAGGGTGAACTCTACTTCAGGGGTACGAGAGCAAGTACCCCTAAATTGCGTCCCGAGCTTCAAGTGGCTCTATGACGAGTACTTCTTGGCCGCCTGTGGCCTCGGCAGTCGGTGCTCTAGAGGTAGCCGGCCTGACGAATACTCTGTTTTTTCACGCTTTGTTTACTTGGGATTTTTACTAACTTTGCTGTTTATTTCTTTCAGCCGACGCCATGAGTAAAATAACAGCATCTAAGACTGCGGCGGCCATGCTGCGGGTCTCACTAATGAAGCAGTCGTATGTCGACTCCCCCAGCAAGGAGGCACCCTTGGTAGGCTTTGAAAACTCTTCTCCTTTTAGTTGTATTATGCATATACTAACTCTTTTTGTTTTCAGTCTGGCACTCCAAGGGCTTCTTCCTCGCAACAGCCGGACCCCAAGGCCCGGAGGACGACTGTTGCCAGCTCTCCTGGGTCTTCCAGGAAAACAGTGGCGGCTGAGAAGCAGCCGGCCACTTCTTCAAAAACCCAGGCGGGGCCGCCTAGATGTATGGACCCTCACTTGTAAAAAACTCACCCTTGCTTCTTTCTTGATTAAGTCTAACTTGTTTTATCCTTTTACTTAATGCAGCCGGCCCCCAGGGACTTGACTTGGTTGAGGTAGCCAAGTCAATGGTTAAAGTAGTTCCTCCCTCTGACAGGGAGGCGGTCAAGGGTGCCGGCACCCTTGACCTCGATGGAATTTCAGGGATCCTAGCTGAGGTATACTTAGCACCTTTTTGAGCTTTTGAGTTCCAGGACGCCTGTTAACTCTTTTGATTGGAAACTGACGCCTGTTTTTCTTTGTACTTAGGCCCTGCTCCGAGTCAACATCCTTCGCAAGCCGATTGATCGGAAAAACAAAGAGGTAAAGGCCGCAAAGGCTATGGCCGCCTCCAGCTGTGATAAGGCAATGTTTCAAATTGCCCAAAATGAAGTACTGACCATTGATCTTCTTTATTATCAGGCGCAGGCGACCGCCGCTGTTCGGGCTCAGCTAGAGGCGGCCCAAAAGAAGGTTGACGAGCTGGAGGGGACCGTCACCAAACTTAAAGCCGAGCTGAAGCCCCTTCGCCAGAAAATGCACTCTTACGAAGCCATGGAGAAATCTTTGGCTAACGTAAAAGAACGCCTGGTGAACCAGGAGAAGAGTCTTACCCAAGAGCTCTCGGACAAGGCCGAGCAAGAGAAACAAGAGCTCGTCCGGGAGATGGTGGAAGACTCCGCCCAAATCCAACGCATGACCTGGGAACGACTGTTCCCCAGTGCCGACTTTGCCTCATGGGAAAGAACGTACCGCCAGTGTTCGGAAATATATAATCAACAGATCCTGGCGGCTGCTGAAGAAGAGGCGATGGACGTTGCGTTGGAGGAGGAAGAGCCGGTTGTGGCGCTTGTGCCACTTGGGGGTAAGGCATCAAAAGATGATGCAGCTAAGGCCGAGTCCAGCAAGAAGAGTGCTGACCAGGCGGCTGCTGCTGATACTGAATTGCCCCCTTCTTAAGCTTTAAGTATATTTTTTTTCTTTTCACGGCCTGCGTGCCGTTTGCTTTGTAATTACCCGGCCAGGGGGCCGGGGTTTTGAATATTCTGCTGGTCTTTTATGGCCGGCTCATTTTAATCAAAGTTTTTGTTTTTGTTCAAATTTGTCTAAGTATTTGAAATTTGCTCACTTGACCGACTGTTGTGTATGGCCGAACGTTAAGACAGGTACAAGTAGTAAGTATGCCGCCTATGCCCCTGGACGACTGGTTGTCTGTTTCCAGGATAGATGATCAGTCGGCCATTTAATCAATCGGTATTCGAACTCTTTATTCAATTTGACCAAGTAAATAGAATTACCTAGTAGCCAAGGAATTTAAGTAGGAAAACAAGCGGCGGGTACCGGTTGTTTCCCTTTATTGCCAATGTTGGCTTTTAACTCGTTATTTGTTAACCTAGCAAGAGTATTGGTTGAGAGCCTTTGTTTATTAAAAACAAGTGGACGACTCATACCTTTTAGGCTCCATACTAAGTTTGAGTGACT